TAAAGCGGAGTGTCGCGCTCTGTATACGATTTTAGCGCCTTACAAGTGCGGACACTTTTTAGCGCGGACCCGACGTCCATATAATTGTAAGTCAATGGATATCTCAAAAAAATATATATTGTCCCTTTCCAACAAAAAAGAATGATCGAAAGCAGTTCACAAATGTCGGAGTAATTACGTAACACACACGCAAAAAAAAGTCAAATTAGGAACCTCCTCCTTTTTACCCGACAGCGGGAGGGCTAAGTTTTTCGAGTGAATGTGTGTATGTGTGTCCGTTTTTGTGTTTCCGTGTATAGCCAAAACGGCTTGATGGATCTTGACATATGAGGTGTTTTGATTGTGAGAGTGTCATAGGCTAGTCTTAGCGAGGGGAAGTTACTTTTTTATTTTTCCAGCTAAAAATTTTTTTTGCAGTCGGGTTTTGTTTTCTTTTGAAATAATTTTTAGACTTGTTTCGAACTCGGTTAAAAAACAAAATTATTATCGTAATTTAAACAAAATTGTTATTTAGGAACTCATTATTACAGGAGACGATCAATAATTTTTTTTTAAATATTAGACGATATCACATTCGTTGCTCTGATCCCAAAGTAAATAACTAAGCGCTTGTGTTATGGAAATTGGAAACAACGACGGTACCACAAACACTCAGACCCGAGAAAATAGAAAAGTTAATTTCTACATTGACCCAGCCGGGGATCGAACCTGGGACCTCAGAGATGGCGACACCATGAAAACCCGGTGCACACCGGGTTTGCCATGAGCCAATCGAACATACAGGTAAGGTATAATAAAAGCTTAATATTAAGAAGTAAAACTAGGATTTTTAAATTACATGAATAAAATTGGGTCCCCGCATCAAGGTACCCAAGATGCTGGCAGCGTTCCCCATTTGAAAGGCTATGCTAATGCGTTGGGCAAGGTAGCTGCAGGCCCTTGGGTTTCCCAGACAGACTATTAATTTTTTAGGTAAAATTTTGCAGATGAAGGCCACCGGGTCCCCACGGGCCGAGGGTTTCGACTCCAAAAGCCGTAAATCGTCGGAGCCGAAATCCTTATTACTTTTTATTATTTCCGCCAGCTCAGCTGTGGAGCCTCTTGCTGTCTTGCTGGTGTGCTGAAGGTGGGATAAGGCAAGTGTGTGACGTCCCACACCAGTGCCCGTCTCGTACTCCAAGGGATGAGAGTCATTACGTCCGCGTGTTTGCCATCTGTTTGCTTCATGTCGCTTGTCTCGAGTATAGCTGGCACTTTAAGAGTGGCTAAGGCCTGACGGATGAAGTCGTTGAGGGCTGCGGCCGGAATAATAATAATTCTGGAAACATTTTTATATGATATCAAGTGACGGGACGAACAAGTCGTGCGCCTGTCCATAACAGTTGCAGTGCCACTCAGAGCTTTAAATCGCAAATATCTAAGGGACACTGCCACTGCGCTCGTCACCCTGAGACATAAGTTGGCAAGTCTCATGTGCCTGTCATTTCACCAGCGCCATTGACCCTACAAAACCGGAGTACATTATTGCTCATATTACCCTTTTGCGGCGGTGGGCGACTAGTTCGTCCCGTCTCATAAAAAAATTGGTTGTGTTCTGAGTTCTGTTACTCTTAGTACGGTTCAAAGTCATATAATCATTATTTCATAGGTAAGCATTATTACACTTGAAATCGTCATAATGGTTAAACTCTACCGCTCATTCGTAAGGCAGATTCCCCTGAGAAGAATGAGGAAGAAACTCTAGGGGTTGCTCTTTGTAAATACGAGTATACATTTGAATACATTTATCATAACAATATTTAATTTTAACTTCTTAGATCGCTACTACCGACTACCTGCAAGAGCTAACCATAGATTTTTGTCATCCAAGTACGCAGAAGCTGTATAATAAACCTTTAGTCTTAAAGGATTTGTTTCACTATACTTTTAAACCTCGTATATGGCAAATTTTGAATATCAATCGGAATCTTCTTAGGGAATAATTGTATCAGGGAATTTCTTAGTTTGAGACCAGACAATTGGTGTTATTGTCTAGTACAATATTATACTTATTATTGGCTTGTATTTAAAGGATCATTTTAAATTTGAAAAAGCAGCAGGCAAAAAAAATCTAAACGGTCTTCTTTTTTAATGGTTGATCCTCTTTGTCAGAGACGTAAAGTAAATGAAATCAATGCCTATTTTAATCAGTTCAGCTGCGCAAAAAACCTTTGCTATGTATAAACTAACATTGATAGTTTTATGTTTAGCCTCAAAACTAAGATGAAAATGAAAATTAAAAAAAATAAATAAAATTAGATACTTATTTTTAAAACAGCACAAGTTTTTTCTTTTTATAAAAAATAAGTGCGCTTTTGATCTCCATCTCACCTGATGGAAACTGATGATGAGGTCGACGATGGGCACACTTAAATAATGCCTATTCACTCTCGCCTTGAAAAGGTCAATATTAAAGCGTTCGAGGAATAAATCCGAAGAAGGTGGAATCAAATTATACAATTCCATCACACACAATTTTACACTTATTAATAAAAAATAACATTATTAAATAAATATAACCTAGTTTGTTATTCCGTGAATTTAACTCTCTGGTAGAACTAACGAGTTGACGCGAGCTGTAATCAAATTGTGAAATGTCGAAGTGAAAATACGTTACTTTAAAATATTGGTTTAATACTGGTTAGGACAATACTTGGAATACGATGTCAATAGATTATTTGTTGACGTTTTGTACCAAGAACATCAGCCTAAAGCTAAATAAAATAATATAATTATGACTGTGGCTGTGAAGTTTATAAAATATCACGATGTTTTATTCCCATGATATTCGATTATTTTTTGTGAAATTACTCGACTACTTTGTTATAATTATTGTAATTATTACAACAAAGATCGAAACATTAAGAAAAATTCTATCGATCCTGTTGGATTCGAACCAAGGCAATCCGTGGCAGATGCTCTGCCAATTAAGCCATGGAACAGCAGTACCTTATGAATTATTCTGTGTTTGTTGCAGATCTTTGCGCCTTCTGTGAGAAATAATAATATTTATATTTTTTTTTGTAACAAAAATCGACCTCAATATTTTTGGAATCTGTTAACAGAAAGTGAGTGAAATCCGATAAAACGGATTCATTCCCAAATATCCCATGAGATATGGAATATTTTATTCAAATTAGAATGTGACTACTACTGAGGTATTTTCTTTCCAACAAAAACAGAATCAAAATCGGTTCACAAATGTCGAAATCATCGTGTAATATTTCCATAATTAAATAACTGATTAACAACCATTGACTTACAATTATATGGACGTCGGGTCCGCGCTAAAAAGTGTCCGCACTTGTAAGGCGCTAAAATCGTATACAGAGCGCCAAACTCCGCTTTAGTCTTCATTTGTTCTACTGACAGCGCCATACTGCGATGACATTACAATTTAAATTTCGAATAGGTTGACTTGGGACATTTTTTTCGTGGTTTTTGTATTAGACCCGTCGTCCATTTATTTGTAAGTCAATGTTAAAAACACTCAATTTGACTGTTTTTTTTTTTGGATGTATATGTTATGCAATTACTCCGAAATTTGAGAACCGATTTCGATGATTCTTTTTTTGTTCGAAAGGGGGTACGACTGTAGTAGTCTCGTTAAAATTTGAAGACAATATTCCACTTCTAAGGGTGGTAAATTAAGAGATAAATACGGTTAATTGAATTTCACCCACTTTCCATTAACCAATTTCAACAAAACTTGGCACATAGATATGATTCAAATAAAAATAAAATGTTACCGTAACCTAGAGCGGATCTGATGATAGAAATGGCAGACAGATGAGATCTCCTCGACAGTGTGCAGCAGTTACCTACAGTGGGTTTTTTTAGTTTATGTTTTTTTAGAATGATTTTTAAGTAATAGGACGAACTAGTCGTTGAGTGACACTGCAAATATTATATACAGGCGTGTAGCTTACCACGACTTGTTCGTACCGTCACTTGATATTATAAAAAAAAAACACGATACCAATACTGTCGTAATTTAAAATTGTGGGACATGACTTAAAAATTAAAAAAAAAAATAGAATTAAACCAATATACATATTTATTCTTTTTTTTTATATAAATCGATAATTAAGTATTATATGGAAATAAAAATAATCACATTATTCGCAATAAGATACATTCAGCATTTTTTTTTAATTCTTAAAGTGTGTTTTCTAAATTCCGCAATTTTGAGTTACGACAGTATTTTATATTTAAAATGAAATATGATATTTTTCAAAACAACATTTTTTTCGGTTCATGCATTTCAACTTAAGCTGTGGTAGTCTTTTTTGTACTTAGTGAATGACGAACAAGTCGTGTGTCTGATGGTAAACGACATGCCTGTCCATAACAGTTGCAGTGCCGTTTATAGCTTTAAGTCGCAGAAATGTGAAGTGTAATGTTTTCTATTGCAAATTTATAATCTGTATCTTCGTCCATACAATTATTAAAAAAAGTCTAAACAGTGTTCTTATTTGTATTTTTGCTACTAACTTTGATTTAAAATCCCTTTTAACAGGTCTTTTTTTTAAAAGGCATCTTTTTCTAAAGGCAGAAGATAATATTCATTCTCGACACGTAAAGTAATTTTTGTATTGACTGTAAAATAATAATGTCAAAGTCAATAATATAATAATCAACGTAAAACTAATATGACATGCAAACTCCACATACTGTTTTAAATAGCATGTGTCATCATACGTTAGCATACCGGTCGCTTTTCTTTCTCGTACGATTCAGTGCCGGCCGAATCTCTCTGTCATTAAGACGTGTGGGTACATCAGTTCGCGCCAAAAAAACTTCGCGCCAACAACTACGAACGTTCTACCAACTTTTACACGAGACAATTTTCAAATTGCTACTTTACTTTCTGAACTATAAATTTCTTATCTGTGGTGGTCTTTTATATTTTTCAAAGTCGAATTCTTTTTTTTCATTTACGTTTTTAAAAAGTGGTTTGCCGGCCGGTGAAAGATGTTGCGAATTCTTGTTTTTTTTTTGCATTACAGTGTGTGACTTTGTGCTTATGAATTAAAAATGAGATTGGATTTCGCACATTCAGATCATTAGCAATTTTTCCAAAGGTAAGTTGAAGATGTTATTTTTAATTAAATCAATTAGATAACAGGGTTACATTATTCCAGTTAATCTGCCACTTTTTTCCACCATAAACGCAATTTAACAACAATGTAGTCACTAAATGAAACACTCGATTTTTCAAATTTAAACTTAATTTCAGAAACTTTAATGGCCATTTTACAAACTTTTTCGTTTTGTAACAGTAGGTATCGATTTTAATATGGTTATCGTCTACTTGTAGGTAAAACACATAAGTAACGCTTTTCTAAAAAAAAAAGCCTCAAAATTTTATAGCTATGTCAAGAAAATCACCGTCTTTCTATAGGTAAAACTCAATAATAAAAAGCTATAAACTATTATTAATAAAAAAGCTACAAAATAATATTAACGTTTTACCAGTACAGCTACGTAATTATTTGTAAAAAAAAAATATTACTTATGTGTGTTTACTTTTAACCAGACGATATATTGCAGAGCTTAAGATTATTCTGATAAATGTTTGATCAAAGTCCATCACAACTACAATGCGGCCTTTTAAAAGTTACGTGTATCATTTACGATGAGCATGACTTCCGGTGCGATGTTTTCCTTCACCGATTTTAAGTAATGAAATTGTGTCCACAAAAAAATGTATTGAATTTGCTTTAAAAAATAACTAAGAAACTGACCTTTTAAAAAGAATAATAATTCAAAAAGATATCAGTCGTTAAAATGGAACACGGCCATTCCTTGGCCTGTGTCGAAATGGAATTCAATTTAAATAATTAAAAAGTGTATATTGTTGCTCCACGCTATTGTTTTATTATTTACTAAGGTACTTTAGCCGGTATAACGCTGGCCTTCTGTGTAGAAATCCACGTGTAGGAATTAAGTCGGATTGTTATGTCAATAAAAATTGTACTATAAATTACCTCAACTAATAAACGAAACAGATTAAAATACAACGACTTTACTATCAGAGATTAGAATAGGCTGACTATATTTTACACATGAAACCAATGCTATCGTAATTTAAAATTGTGGAAATGGGAAAACACATTTTGAGTGAAGAAATAGATTTGTCACAAAAATTTGCTAAAAACCAAATTATTATATCAATTATTGTAACAATCTAGTGGAGTAATTTCACAAAAACTAATTGAATATGATGGCAGTAAGACATCGTGACGTTAAATAAATTCGATATTATAAAAAAAATCAAATTGAAATATAAAAAAAAATCATTTTGAAAATTAAAAAAGAATACTGACTCGATTTTATTGCGAATAATGCGATTGTATTCATTTATACAAAATATTTAATTATCCGTTTATAAATGAGAATATATATATATTTACTGGTTTCATTCAATAATCTTCTGAACATTCACATCGTGTTTTCTAAATTGTATTATTTTTTAGTTACAACCAGTGTTTGGTTTCATGTGTGAATTTTAAAGGCAATAAATCAAAATTAGAAAAAAAACTAATGTATGAAGAGGCTGTATGGAACCATTGCCTAATAAATGTGTGAAAACTGAAATGAAAATCGATAATAATAAGTTTTTAAATTAATCTCCTTGATTATTAAGGTTTATTAAACACTACATATTTATAACTTTCACGTATACTAAATACATACAGATTCATTATTTTTTTATTTTATTTCTATTATAATATTGCGCAGCTGATATCTTTGTTTTCTTATAACGAGGTTGATAAGGCCTTGGGCAGCGTGAGGATCGCTCTATATAGCGCTACATAGCTCGTAAAACGATAGAAAAAAACGCCTTTGCGACCAACTTCCTTAAAAACGAAAAAGAAAATGGCGGGCTTATGCAGTTTTTATACGATTTAATTTAATTTTAGTTTAAGTACATTATGTTTTAAGTTTCTTAATTATTTGTTACTTTTTTAAGCATATGGCTTTAGCCAATGCTCAATAAATAAATAAAACCAATTTCCATAGATTCTAAAAATAAATCGTCTAAAGCATTGTCTAAAGTCAAAAATTCGTTGTCCTAAAAGTTTCTTAATTCTTGATTTCATATTTTCAATATGCTAGCTGGTGAAATTACAGGCACGTGGGACTTGTAACTTATGTCACAGGGTGACAGTGCCCCTCAGATCTTTGCGATTTAAAGCTCTGAATGGCACTGTAACTGTTATGGACAGGCGTGTCGTTTACCAGCAGGCGCGCAGTTTGTTCGTTCCGTCACTTGGTATAATAAAAATATAAAATTATAACATTTTTATTAAAAAAACCGACCTTAAAAGTTCTAAGATTTATATCTATTTGCCAAGTTTTATTGAATTTTTTTTTAATAAAATATAAGTACGCATTTGACCTCCATCTCACCTGATGGAAAGTGACGATGGAGCATGCGCTCCTAAATAATGCCGATCGATTACCGGAAAGTGCGCAAAATCAGATGCATCCCCTAGTTTGACGCCCTTAGAAGTGAATTATTTTCTTCAAATGTAAACGGGACCAATATTAAGGCACCCTCTTTCCGAGAAAGAATCATCAAAATCGGTTCACAAAATATGTCGGAATAAGCGCGTAACATACACACAAAAGCTCCTTTTTTTAAGTCGGTTAAAAATAAAAATCTACCTAGTAGTAGTAGAATTGTAGCAGTAGAACTCCTTGTGAAAGAGCGCATCCAGGGAAGTAATGCCACCCTGCCGCCAAGCAGTAATATTACCATTACTGTGTTCCGGTAGGGTAAGGGTGCTGGTGAAATTACAGGCACATGGGACTTGTCAACTTATGTCTCAGGGTGACGGGCGCTGTGGCAGTGCCCCTTAGATGTTTGCGTTTTATAGCTCTGAGTGGCACTGCAACTGTTACGGACAGGACTTGTTATTAAACATGAAATATAACTACTTGAAGACATTTCTGAGAGAAATAAAGCATTTTGTATTGCATTATATTGTACGTACACGTAGAAATATATCTTTACGATGTCCACGTATAAAATATGACGTCACACGGGCTCGAAATTCGAGTGGTTTTATCTCGACATTGACATTCGCACAATCGTCAATTTACGACTCGGCGCGAAACTAATGACAATACATGGATTAATTGATTAATTAATTTGGAATGCCATGATCGATGATTAAAATTTCGTTAAGGAGGTAGTTGCACTGTATATGTTATTAAATTAAACTAATTTCAAGGCCTTTGAAACAAACTCGAGTAAGATACTAAGGTTAGTTTTTGTGAAAATGAAAACAATGGACATTATTATCATCGTCAGGTTTTTGTTTTTTTTGGGGTCTTCAATCAATGTGAAAATTCTTCGTATTAAATAGAATGACTACTGAGAAAGAGTGTCAGTGACTGGATTGGATAGAGTGAGCACATAACATTAATAAAATAAATAAAGGTTTCCCTAGTACGGGGCTACGTTGAGTGTGTACGTTATTATTATAAAAAAAATTGAGATACACTCTAATTACAACAAATATTTAGTTTTAACGGGTTTAATCTGATTTAAACAGCGTTTAAAAGCGCCGGGTTAAAACCCGGATGCTTGCCCATCTCTGGATGTGACGATAAGATGTGTGAAACTTCTCGATCTTGGAGAACAAGTAAACCCTCGGTGATAAATGCCAAAGGATTCAACTTTCAGCGTTAACTATTTAATAACAAACTTACTTTATTTTGTTATCCTTACGTAATGTTCTTTTATCTATTATGTAAACATTATAGTTTTTAAATTTGTATTGAATTGATATTCAATATCCGGCCGGATCGAAGGAATTTTTTCTAAGTGTTTGTATTAATAACATATAACAACTTTATAATTTTTTCACCCAACAAATAAGATAATATATTTTAAAGTAACTCAAATATTTTTCCCAGGGAAACATGAATATAAACTACGCACTAGTAAAATTTAAAATTAATTTGCGACATAAAAACACAGGTTTATTTTTTTCCCAATCTTTTTCCTCACAAGTTTTTTTAGAAATAAATCCGTGACATGCAGAGTTATTAGCGCTTTTACACTTTTTATTTTTCCTGTTAATTTGTTGTTTTGATAATACACCTCTATTTTTTTTTATGATATTATGATACCAAACCTGTTCAGACTCAGAGCTTTAAATTACAAAGATTTGATGACTACTGCCACCGGTCCCGTCACCTTGAGACGTAAGTTGATAAGTCCCATGTGCCTGTAATTTCACCAGCACCCTTCAAAATCAAAACGCAGTAATGCTCAGATTAAGTGGCAGTACTTCACTGGACGAATTCTTTCAATAGGAGCTCTACTGCTACATAAATATAAAGATATTAAATATTGGACGAACAGGTCGTGTCTCTACACACGCCTGTCCATAACAGTTGCAGTGCCACTCAGAGCTTCAAATCGCAATTTGATCCTATCAGAGGGGCACTTCCACAGCGTCCATAGGCATATACAAGTATAAGTTTCTTTTCTGAAAGTTAATAAAGACATTTTCATGTAGAAATCTCGGACCCACCTCGGAAGTTCACCAGGGCCCCGATTCAGAACTCTTCGATATTTTAACCGAATCATTCGATATCGATAGATATCGCTCTCGAATCGAAGGGCGCTTTCCGAGCTATTCAGAACATTCGAGTTAAATGTTCGATTCGGACTAGGATACGATATCGTTATTCAACAGCGTTTACGAAGTTAGCCGGTGAAATAGATTATAAGAAAAATTAACATCCTTTAATATACATTTTTAAGACTTTAAAGGCCGAAAATATCGGATAGCATTAGTCTTGCATTAAAATACATTAATAAAATTGAACAAAATCCAGACTTTATTCAAAATAATAAGATATTTCCATATTACATTCTTGCTTTGTAAACAATACTATGTTTGGTTATTTTCATTCGATAATTGTGTTCTGAATAACGTTTGTAACCTTTGCCGGTCGAGAAGTTCGAGTAATCGTACGGGTGTGACGTCATTTCGGTTCGGTTTCGAATAGAAATGAAAAGAAATCGTACGATATCTAATCGAATCGGTCGACAACTGAG